AATCAACAAACACCAACAGGCCATCATGCACCAAGTCACCGAAAATTCTGAGAAAAGTATGAAAGGAACAAACCTATTTGCTGCCAAATGAAATTTGACAGAATGTCGGTGTCTTCAATGAGCTTTAAAGAAGCCATGGCTTTGTTGATAAGTGGCTGCACTAACCCACATGGACACCAAAGCCTTGCGTGAATTTCGATAGCTTGGATTACAAACTATTCTTCAAAGGTCCAGATGGAAGGGTAGATTGGTAGGCTTGTGATGTCAAAGGCAAAGGGAGAATTTTGATTGTAACAAACTCCTTCAGTTACAAAGCTTTGTTTCCGATGTTCTTTTACGTACCGAACTAAAACAAAAGCTTTGTTTTCGGTTGGTCAATTGACTTGGATAAAGGAATTACCAGTTTAGCTATTTAAAAGATTAAAACTTGTGAAATAAGTTTGATTCCTTCTGGCTCAAAGTTATTTGCTTGTCCAAAATGAAACGGAGAAGCTTTCCTCTAAAATTTAAGAGACTCTCGAAGAAGAATCTTGCTTGAGTCATAAAAAGAAGGAATCTAATTTGTTGCATAAGAGACTTTGTCACACCAAATCTCATTCATTTAAAATTGCTGCAATCCAAGAAGTTAGTTGCTGATTTGCCATCTTATAGTTGAAGAAGACAGCAGTAATATATGGACATATTGTCAGTTAGCAATAACTCAGCCAAACCACCATTTTCCATCTGACAAGCATGGAGAGCTTTCATGATAAAACTTGAATTAATACACACTGATGTTGAATTAATACACACTGATGTGTGTGGCCCTATGAGTGTCTCATCTTACAATGGCAGCAAGTATTTTCTATTGTTTATTGATGACTACACCAGATTCTGGTGGGTATATTTCCTCCAATTCAAATCTGAAGTTTTCAAAATGTTCTTGAAGTTTAAATCAATGGTAGAGAATCAAGTTGGCTTCCCAATCAAGATTTTAAGAGCTGATAATGGGGCTGAATTTACATCCAATCAATTCAAGCAATATTTGCAAGAAGCAGGCATTCACCATCAATTAACAGTAGCTTACACACCTCAACAAAATGATGTAAGTGAAAGAAAGAATCGATCTGTGATGAATATAGCGAGATGTCTCTTGTTTGAGAAAAATCTACCCAAAGTTCTTTGGGCTGAAGCTGTAAACATTGCTGTATATCTTCAAAATCGGCTTCCAAGGCTTCCCTTTCCAACCCAAAGCTATTGTGGAAATAACTCCCTTTCGAAAAGCTGGGTTTGGGGAGTTAAACCATCGCAGTTAGGTCATCTCAAAATCTTTGGAAGCATATGTTTTTTACATTTTATTTCCCAACTGCAAAAAGACGGGAGGGGGTATGATCAACGAAGTGAAAAAAGTGGAACAGTTTTTAGTAGGCTACAGCAGTTGAATCCAAAAGGCCTACAGAATTTTGAATCCTGCTCTTACTTAAACAGGTTATGTATGTCAGCAGGAGTGTCAAATTCATGAGATGAGAGAAAGGTGAAATGGGATTTGGATAAAATGGAACCAGAAAATTCTAAAATCAGTTCTATTTGATTTTTTCAGGCAAAGAGCAAGAACTTCCAGTTGACAATGAAGCAAGAATCAGATGAAGATGAATTATGCAATTTAAGACGGACTAGATCCCTAGATGAAAATTTTACAGCAAGATTGTGTAATGTTGTTCAACTTTGAACCAACTCAGGGTGGGATTGAAAGCCTTAAAATTGCCCTTGAGTGGAGAGCTGCCATTGGAGGAGGAGTTGAAGGATTGATTTATTGAAAAATGAAACATGGATTTTTAAGTTCCTAGTAGAACCATTGAATTAACATTGTAATTGGAACTAAATGGGTATTCCAAAAATTTGAAATTAAATTCTGATTGGCTCCATCAATAAGCAACAAAGTAAGGATATTTGTTAAAGGCCTACGCCTCAACAGCAATGGGGTTGATTTTTATTAGAAACCTTTGCACCAGTTGCAAGATTTTGACACTTATTAGATTGATTTTGGCCACTTAAGCAGCAAGTGAAGGTTGGCAAGTCTTTTCAATTGGATTGTGAAATCAGCTTTTCTTAAATGGTTCTTTTTTAAAGGAAGAAGTGTATATTGAGCAAGCCTCCAAGGTTTAATGATGGAAGGCAATAGAGTCGTGTTTTGTTGGAAGAAAGCACTCTATGGTTTTAAAACAGGCCCCAAGGGCCTGGTATGCCAAGATTGATCATTACTTGCTGAATTTTGGGTTTAAAAACGAAGCTGAATGAGGCAACACTTTACGTTAACTCAACAAGGAAGTGATTGCTGCTTTTCGTTTTCTGTGTATGTTGATGATCTACTTGTCACAGGCAACCGAATTACAATTAATTTCAAAGAATTCAGATTGAAGATGCCAGGCAGGTTTTTTGAGATGAATGATCTTGGCTTTAATGTGCTTATTTTTCCTGGGATTGAAATTGCTTCAAGATGAGCCAAGGGATTTTTTATTTTCACAAAAAGAAAATTTCTTGGGAGCTGCTTATAAAGGGTTTGAACTTAGCAAATGCAAACCAGTTGGAGTACACCTTACAGCCCATGGAATTAAAAATTGCAAAAGGATGATGGTTCTCACCTATAGATGCTTCAACTTATAGAAGCCATGGTTGGTCTTTGCTGTATTTATCTATAAAACAAGGGACCAAGATTTCATGTTTTGCAACAAATTTTACTATATCGAGATTCATAATTCTCCAACTGAAAAACCATCTTACAGCAAGCCAACGAGTTTTGAGATATTGTGCAAGGGGACTGCTGAATTTGGTTTGTTTTATAGAAGATTTAAATGGTGTTGTTAAAGTTTGTTGGGCGTTTTTCAGACAGTGATTGGGCTGGGGTCATTGGATGATATGTGGGAAGGCACTACTGGGTTTTTGTGTTTTCACTTGGTTCTGCTGTCATTTGCTGGGGAACAAGAAAGCAAGCTTCAGATCACTCGCTCAATCAACTGCCAGAGGCAGGAGTATTGTTGCAGCATTCTGCTGCTGTAAATCAAGCTATTTGGTTGAGGAAAGGTGTTAGTGGATCTGAATTTTCAGCAAAGAAAATCCCAACTAAAATACTTTGTTGACAATAATCAGTTGTTGCTATTGGATTAAGAATCCCAATTTTTCCATTTGGAAAAACCAAATTATAAAAATCAAGTCCATGCAAATTCGTGAAGCTGAAAAGGAAAAGAAATTTTCAGATGTTTCATTGCAGTTCTGAAGACCAACAGCAAGATATTTTCTCAAGGCATTGCAAAAACCAAGGATTTTGGAATTTTTTCTTAGGAATAGACGTTGGTTGTTTGTCTCAAACTCTTGCATCAAGGAGGAAGTGTTAAAGTTTATACAGCTTACAAGCTCCATTTGAAGGAAATTTGATTTGCAAGTGTTGTGATTAGTTTTTGGAGGATTGTTAAAGTCATTATTAGATTTTTTGTCTGTAGTCCAAGAAGTAGTTGAACTACCTTGCTTTTAGGTTAGGTTGCGGGTGAACCCAACCTTCCTTGACTTATGGAAGGTTGGTGAACAAACTTTAGACTAGCTCTACTATTAAATGTCTTACATTATGCTGTAATGGAAAATATAAGAACGTGGAATATTTTGTTTTTTTTTTCACACTTACAAAACTACTATAAATGTTTACATTATGCTGTAATGGAAAATATAAGAAGTGAATATTTGTTTTTTCACACTTACAAAATCTGCAGCTTTTTTCATTTTCTGCAGAATTTCCTTCTCTTCCTTAATTTTCTGCTCTTCTAAACCAACGAAAAGGATCAATTATCTCCACAGCTTAAATAGATCAACTATCTCAATAGCTGAAATGGACCAGCTGGACCAATGAATTAGCGATTGAAAAGGATCAGCTTATCTACATTAATCAACAGCTGAAAATGATCAGCTCATCATCTTCGTTTCTCCTAAGAAAAAAAGAAATACTAAATTCATCGCCATCACTCGTGCCAAATCCTTTTTGACAGTATGATGGGAACGTCTATGAATATATATTTTTTACACCCTCATATCATCGAAACTTAGTTATAAAATGTGTGGTTCAAACCGGTATCAAATTGGTCAAGAATCAAAGGATAACCTAGAACTCAAATGTGATCTGCATCCACTATTTTGGCTATAACTCTTTACACATATGGAAGATTATCAAAACCTTGGCACAGTTAGAAACTAAATAGAAAGATTTTTCCAACGGTATATGGCACGTTAAAAACCAAGAACGGGCCATGAACCAAGCACAAAATCATTAAAATCATTGCAAATCGAAAGGGCTCAACAATAATCTCTCTCCATTTGAATTTTTAAATCTCAAGATACAAATATAATTTTTTAGCAAGCCAAAATATAATTCTAGATTAAAAACTAGAAATTCAGAGCTCTCCAACGATATATTTTGCAAGCCAACATCAAATTAAAATGAGTCTGAATGAGTAAAAATTATACACGAGAAAGAAGTTGAAAATTGGTCGTATAAACAATGATACCTCAAATTCGGAATTGCATTTACCCTAAGTTGAAAAGACATGAAGTCTACCTTCTAACCTTCTGCTATATAAAGCGCATCCCCCTTCAATCCAAAACACACAATCTCACCTTGTTCTAAGTTAAGGGTCATGTTTTGTTTTAAAGAAGTTAATGGGAGAGAATGTAATTCCCCTTGCCATTAGTACTTGTGACGTGAATCTACTATCTAAATCCTAGTTTCTTATGAGTGTGAGACATTTTGAAGTAAGTTTATGGGTCTTTGGCTAGTAGAAGAAGGAAAAATCGCATTCCAAGCTCATTTCCTCTGAAATTTTGGAGTGGATTTTACCTTAAAAATAATATTGTGGTAGATCTTGCTAATGTGAGAGTGATATGAAACATAGTAGAATCTCATCTCATGCAAGAAGAGGTTTATGCTATATGGACTTTTACAATTGGAACTAAATTTTGCAACTTAAACCCAAACAAGATAAATATCAAAATAATTCTATTTCAAGCATACAAAAATCATTACAGTTAAATAATTATCATAGTACATAAAATGAAAGTCAAATCAACATAAATAGCATCATATATACTTATTAATGGACTGTCCAATAATCATCAAAAGAATAATTCAAGTGTCCAAAAATTAAGTACTTATGATGCTTATTACAACACATGCAATATGCAGTCTTTTTTTTTATTTTTCCTTTTTCTTTCTGCATTCAAGGGGAAGACACAATCGCAAATTAATTTCTGATTACCCTTAGCCAAAAGTCTTTATTGATTAACAATTTTATAGAAGGTAATAAAGGCAATTAAAAATGATTTAATTATTAATTCTTGAAGAGTTCTAAACAATGCTCTTGATCCAAGTTCCTGCTCCAAAATTTCTTGTAATATTCAGCATATGTGAAGTCCTTGTACACGGCTCCACTTCCATGCTCTGTGAGAGGTTTGGCTGGGCTAATTAATGCATCATCTTGTGGGCAAAGGAAGGAAGCAACTGACATTCTAGCTTTCTCAGCATTAACAATGGCTCGGTGCCATACACTTTTGTACCTCCCATTGCTTAGTGCCTGCAACCACTAGACGTTTTTATATTATGACCAATTCCTTAGACTAGGATCATATGATTTGTATCTATTGAATCAAAAAGATTCAAAAATTTGATTCATTAGTAGCAGTTAACTGTTAACAACTAGCAATCACAAAGCAAATTAGGTGTGTTCTACTTTATTCTTTTTACTTATATAAGGAATAGGAGGTCCCAAATTCAGTGTCATTTCGATCTGTTGAGCCTCCTAATGAATAAAAAAAAAAAAAAAAAAAAAAAAAAGTTGAACCTCCCTAATGCATAAAAAAGAAAAAAAAAAAAAAAAAACACTAGCAATCACAAAAAAAAAAAAAAAAAAAAAAAAAAAAAAACACTAGCAATCACAAAGAGAGGTACTAATCCCTCCATTCCAAAAAGGTAGTCCACTTTCTATGTTCATACAGATTAAAAAAGTAGTCAACTTTCTATGTTCATACAGATTAAGAAAGTAGCACGTATTATGGTTAAAGGATAATTTTATTTATAGAACTGTCCAATTATGTCCATCTTGAATAACACATGAGCAATTATTATATTAAAATAATAAGTAAGAATTAATGACGGTTATTAAAATAAGATAAAGTTTAATAAGGGTATAATAGACAATTTAAGGATTAATCATAATGCAAAAATAGGAAAGTGGACTATATTTTGAGACAAACCAAAGAGGAAAGATGGACTATCATTTTGAGACGGAGGAAATAATAATTAAAAATCTCAATTATATAACCAAATTCAAATATTAAGATTAGAAAAATGGATAATTACCTGCAATTGATCACCAATATTAATGACAAAAGCATTAGGGTGAGGATTAACAGCAAGCCATTTGCCATCCTTAAAGACTTGAAGGCCTGCGACTTGAAGATCTTGAAGCAAAATTGTAAGGGCATTGGGGTCTGTATGTCCAGGTAATCCATATGTTAACTCTGGCTCAGGGCAAGGTGGATAAAAGTTTACAGCCATATGTTGTCCTTGTTCACCTAATACATTCTTTATATGATCCTTTTCGAGCCCTAAGCTCTCCGAAATCAATTCTTGTAAGCGAAATCCAAGCTCTCGAACTTCTTTACAGTAATTACTCACAATTTCCCTACATAAAAATTTCATATTAGATCATGTTTTTATGATTATTGATATTATAGTTTGAGAGACTTTTTTATGAAACGTCAAACATTATAACTTCAACATTTTACGCATATAATTAATATTTTTATTTTTTGGCAATCATGAAAAATGGACCATCAAAATATAGAAAATATGTATTATGCCGTAAAGGAAAAGGAAATCGAGTAATTCCTCTTATAACTTTGAAAGTAGCGATAGATACTATCGAGAAGCATGCTCATAGTTTTTTTTCTTCCCAATTCAACTAATTAAACAGCTAATGTCTTTTTGATCATTTTAAAATAAATAGCTAATTAAATAGTTATTTTTATCGAATACTTCTAATTTAATCTCCTCTGTAAACAATTACAAGCTAAAAACTAATAGCTAATAAAACAATTAACAATTATTATAACAGCTAATAGCTACTAAAACAGTCAATATTACCGAATATACCTATTGAATGACTGTTCAAAATTATTGTTTCAATTATTTCTAGAATACTCGCAACAAAGTTGAAATATAATTAATTAAGAAGAGAATGCCCACCCATATCGACTCAATAGCTACCAATGAATATGAAAGGAATAATGATGACAAGATGAAAGAAGTTTCATTGACGGTGGGAATTGGAAGAAAATGTCCACATTTAACACTTTCCTTTCCCACATACAACTTGTCTATTGATATACCAAAATCAACTTCTTCAACCCAAATATTCAAATTTTCATTTCTTACTCCCAAGCAATAAGCAATTATTAAGAAGAAGACTATAATAGGAAGTCTTCCTAGACAACGCTGTCCCACTGATTTGAACATATATATATGGTATATCAAACGTAATCCTTTTAGTGGTTATGGATTAGCACAATGATGAAATATTTTATTATGACAAAGTATTCTTATTTTCAAACCTGATAATAACTGGTATAATAATATAATTCATTAATGAAAATTAAAAATAAGCATGCCATCAAGATATTAGCTAAGCTAACATCAAATAATTGATGCTTCAAAAAAAAAATAATTCTTTTTTTTTTCTTTTCAGAATATGATTGATTTTTCAAATATTATTATAATTTTGTCCCAGAATTTTCAGAATTAGATCAATTATTAAACAGTCAAAAATCAAAAAATGAAAATGAAATTAATGATTTAAAAACTTTAAAGTTAATTAATATTATATTAATGATTTAAAAACTTTAAAGTTAAATATTATATATATATATATATTAGTATATATAACAACAGACACACGTGTAATCCTATCCGCCTCACAATATATATATATATATATATACACAGACACACGTGTAATCCCTCCGCCTCAAAATTATAGACCAGTTTTCTTTTTGGATGTCCCGAAATAATAGTTCATTTTATATTTTGAAATTTTTTTTTTCACTTTCCTATAATACCTTTATATAATAATTCGTATAAATAATTAATATTAGTTGAATTTATTAGATAATGAAAAATACTCTTAAGATAATTAAATTTGAAATATTGATATACTAACTATTCAACTTACTTTCAATGAATTATTAATATATAATCTTTAAAGTATTTAAGGATATACATGGAAAAATAAGGAAAAAATTATAATTAAATTAATTTAACTAAATATTCTTTGAAGTATGTAATGGAGAGAGTAAAAAATAATTTAGATTTATAATATAACATATGAATTCTTAATTCTATTTATTTTAATTATTATATATCAAATTCAATAATTTGATATTTAACTAAATGAAAAATATGGTACTACTTAAAAATAAATATTGTATGAAGCTCACTAATATAAAAAATTTTCTTCCCAATATTTAAAATATTAATTTTGAATTATTATTAATTTTAAAATTACTACAAGACTAAATCAATAATTAAAAATCGAATTAGCTGGGAGCTAATTCTGACAGCGAAAAAATTGACCAAACAGCAAGGAAACCGAAATTTGTGCGTTTATTAAATTGTTTCGTATAACCGTTGACTGTGTCCGGATAGACTACACCTCACCCTCTTAACCTCCCACTCACCGCCAATAAATCATAGATCTGTCCTTTGATTCTTTTGCTTACGTCAACACGGATTTAAGCAATTACGTCACCATTCCTACCCAACCCAATGAGATGGGTTGGAGCCAAATTAATTTAATTTAAAAAGAGCCAAATATACTAATTTATATAAAAAATAAATAAAATCATACCAAACTGTTTATAAATTTCCACGCAAGTTGTTTAATGAAAGTGACTTTATCCTACATAGAATGGCATTGGCAGTGAAATGCGGATACAATTTAGGATATTTGATTAAAATAAAATCAAAATATATTTTTATTGAGTGTTATTCTGTTGATAAATAAAATATTAAAAAATAAAAAACAAATTCATCAAAAAACAAAATCATAAAAACCAATTTCACGGTAAAATGTCTAAATTGTCATTCTTAAAATTAAAAATTTTGCATTTAATTTTGCTATAAAATACCAAATAAATATCAATGAAATTGAAAATAAATAATTATTATATTCTTAAAATTTTAAATGAGCAATTGAAATGGAATAAATGAAATATTTAATTGTTAATATTAAAGTCAAACGGAGGGAATACCGATATGAAATAAATAGGTTTACTAGGCCGGGCACAATCTTCCAGTGCAGTGGACCCACATCTTCAACAGATTTAATCACATGGCCTAATCTGCAAGTGCCAATGGTCCATATATGTGGTTATGATGTTTGCGTTAATATTACGGCTGTCAATTTTATTGAGAAGATAAAGGGTATTTTAGACTATTTATCTATAACTGTTTTCCTGGTTTTTACGTAAAAGGAAATCAAATACTAAGAAAAAGATTGAAAATAGAATTAAGAGTTAAAATATCTATATTTCACACGAATATGAAAATAGGAGAATAATGAGATTTTCAATAGAGTTTTTAGTAAAATTTGAATATTCTAATATAATTTTAGTAATGACATATAGATAATTAATTGTTTTAAAATTATTTTTTAAATAAATGCATATAGATAATTAAATATTTCAAAATTTTAAGTTTTATTTTTTAAAAAAAATTAATTTTTTATTTTTTAAAAAAATTAATTTTAATAATATATATATATATATATATATATATATATGATAATGAACATTTAAATTTTATTTTATTTTTTAAAATATTTTTTTAAATATTTGATTTTAATTTTATTATAATTTGAAATATTTTATTTAGGAGAAACTTTATTAACAAAAACAATGTTTTTAGTCAAATATACAATAAAATATCCAAATAAAAAGGATTTGCATTTAAAGAAAAAACATTCGCTTGAATTATAAAAAAACCATCTAAAAATTCTAAAGAAACACATGCTTTATTTAGTACAAATGAATTAAAAATGTAAATTTATTTACAAATAAATTCTAAATTTATACTCATGTTTGGAATAAATTTAGAATTTAAAATTTATTTGCTTTTATTTTCTAAATATCATTGGCATAATAATTTTAAAAGATTGAGAAAACGAATAGTTCATCATAAAATTTTAGGTTGTTTAAATTTATGAAATTTATTTTAACATTTCATTTTTTTTAGTACAATTTGATTTAATTATATTGAAATCCATATAATTGAATTCTTTAATTTTTTATATTAAACACAAAATTTAAATTTATAAATAAATTATTACATAAAAATATTTGAAATACATTTATTCCAAAAAAGAAGTTAAACACATCTATCAACATTGCTTTAAAATTTAAGAAGGAATACATAAATATGAAAATTATTACATGTTTCTTTTCAAAAATTACTAAAAAATTATTATAAATTTTAGAAATTCTTGTAAAAAAAAAAACCTTTAACATATATTATAAGATTATATTCGATAAAATTAGTTATTTTAATAAATATTAATTATTTTATTAATTGTGATCTTAAAGATAATGATGTTTTTTTAATTTGTTGTCTCAAATTATAAACACTAATGCAACGCTACGAACCAAACAATACAAATAATAGATACATTGTTTATATGGCTGACAAATTCCGTAGCTAATGTGAGTTAAATATTTTTCAAATTGATTTTAATATTATAATTAAATAAAAAGTGATATTTTTAATATTTTCTTATAGAACCTTCTTTTTAGGAAACAAATGAAGCACTTGAGAACACAAAATGTTTAATTGACAGACCCCACTCATTACTAAAAAGGGACTCTATTAAATACCAACAAGGCAACAACTGTTGTTTCCCGTCTGCGTTGTCTACTTTGGTGTCAGAAGGTGATATGGGCAACTTTTCAAACCAAAACCATGTAAAATTAGAGGTTGCTAATTTGCAGAACTGGCGATTTTTGGATTGGTTGGATTCAAAATTGGGATTGAAACCGAATCTTTTTTAGTTCTAATCCGTTCTAGTCCATCGGTTTCGGCTGCAGCTCATTTTCATTTTTCAACTTTTTTAACCAAACTTACCGAACCGTGACCAAAATCAGGAACTGAAATTGACTCGGTCCCTATGGTTCTAATTCCGATTCAAAACCAACTCTTTCTGAGCCATTTTTTCTGTGAACCGGTGACTAGCTCTATGTGGAAGTAGTAGTTCAGATGGGTTTGGTCATATCCATTTGGGTTTAGACAAGACAATCTTAAAGTAATTTATTTATTTTAAGTGATGGGAGTAGGCATGGCCACCGGTTCGGTTCTAACCAAAATCAAACTGAAATCGAATCGTACTGTAGACGAATCAGAATCGGACCGGAACCAACGGTTCAAGAGCCGGTTAAGGTTCATGTGAATCTTAAAATATGAACCGGAACCGGCGGTTCCGGTCCGGTTCGAACCGGAAGGTTCATGTAAATATTAAAATATGAACCGGAACCGGATGCACAAAAAAATTATCTTAAAATTTTTATAAAAAAATTTATATCACTTGATTTGATTGTAGTTGATTTAATTTTTGGTGAAGAGAAGTACAACGGTACATAAGTTATAAAGAGTGGTGAAAAAAATACACATTTTTTGACTTAATTTATACAAAAAAATGGTACATGAATAGTTGATTTATATTAAAAAAAATACTTTCAAGTGTAAAAAAAAGAGTGTAACAGATAGTTTTTGATATGATATGTGTTTTTATTTATTTTTTGGTAAATAAATTTTATTCATTTTTTAATCATTTATTTATTTATTTACTATAATTTACTAAATTATCCAAAAATATAGCAGTTATTTTTCTGTTATAAGGGACAATTTGGAAAACTAATAAATGAGAAACATGTATAAATATAATAAGTTGATGATTTTTTATTTCACAACCAATTTTATATCCTAACTATTAACTTATTTTCATCAAAATTCTTCTCAAATTTCCATAGTTCATTATTTTCTATTGCGTTATTTTCCTAATATTTGGAATTATCTATTGGGTTTATTTTTTATTTTCTTACGTCCATTTCCAAAATTCTGTCTCTTAATCTCAATTTGTTTCCATTTCATAAATTTACTTCATTTGATTTTTAATTATTTTCTTAGGTTATTTGAAAATAATTAATTTCCAACTCATTCCATTCATTTTATATTCCATTTATAGTTTTCTGTTGTTACGTGAATTAGCAAAATTTGTTAAATTTTAATTGTAATAATAGTTCTAAGTTAGTTAATAGAAGGTTTTTCTTTTTAAAAATTTTTATAATAATTTATTTAGTTAATAAAAATTTAAAACATTTTTTAAAATTATTATTTATTTATAAATTCGGAATCAAATTTTATTATTGTTTTTAAAATTTGCTAAATACCGAGTTAATAAAATTTAAACATTTTAAAATTATTATTTATTTATAAATTCGGAATCAAAATTTTATTATTTTTTTAAAAATTTGCTAAATACCGGAACCGAATCAGAACCGTAATTCAAACCGTCGGTTAGCCGAAACCGTGCCGAACCTACCGGAACCGAAGGTTCAAGAGTCGGTTTCGGTTCCGATTTAAAATTTTAAACATCTCGAACCGGCGGTTCAGTGAACCGAAACCAGCGGTTCAATTCGGTTCACTGAACCGGCTATACCTAGATGGGAGGGACCTGAGTAATCTTGAGATTTGATTCTTACCACCACTCCTGAATTAATTTTATTAATTTTAATTTCCTTTATGTCAATTTTGTTTTTTTTTTTTAAAGAGAAACATTTATTTTTCAGATTTAGATTGTTTTGGATAAAATTTTTTTTTAAACCATCGGTATCCGAACTCTAATACCAAAGACAGTCTAATCCGGCTCGAAGCTTAGTCACAATTAAGGCTTTTTTCCCCATTTTGCAAGTGTGTTTATCAGAGATTGAATCCGAAAACTCTTATTATATGTCCAGCCTGTATTGCCAACTGAGCCACAATCCGTAGATTTCGGATAAAATGCTTTAATATGTGTAAAATCTAAAAAAAAATATATATTATAAAAAAAAAGATAAATGGAAAGATATAAGAATCATCACTAGTTTCTTTTCAAATTAAGATTATAACAACTAAAAAAAAAAAGAAACGCAAAAGTATGGAAAATATTTTAATAAATATATGTTTATAAAAAATGATATTATTTTTTGGATCAACATTATTAATATAAATATAGGTTACAGTATCGCCCTTATTCAAACTGAATGATTTATGACTTAACCATATAGGAGAAATAAATAAATATAATATATAATACAAAAAGATTAGGGTCGGCTATATGACTAGCTTTTATTAAAATAATAATAATAATAATAAAAGCAAAAAGAAAGTTTGATTTGTACAAATAAACATGAAAAGGTAATAAGAAACAATTTTTGTCATTGAATAATTTTTATCATTTTCATTATTTCTTAATTTAACATTCTTTTTAATAATTACCATATATTTTTTTTTGATAGATTTTGAATTTTCCTTTACCTGTTTATTAACATTTTATTGATGTTTTCTTTACCTGTTTTCTATTTTTTTTTTATTACTATAGAAATATTACGATGTATTCATATTATTTTTTATCAATAAAATTTTGTTTTAAAAGGATAAAAAACAAACTTTTTTCTTTTTTACTAATTTACCCAATCTGGAGTCTTCCATTAATAAATTATAAATAAAAAAAAGAAGTAAGAGAACGGGTAGTTCATTCTAGACGATTTGATGTTTGGACAAGGTAATATAAGAAAGAAAACAAAATAAATGCAAGAAAATAAGGATGAAAGTTGAATTTTTCTTCTTTATAAAAAGCAAAACAGCGGAAGGAAAATAAAATTATTGTTTGAAATTACTCTCTTCTCCTTATTGTCTCTATATTTTCTTTCCTTTCACTCTTGTCATCTTGGTATTCATATGGTAAGAGCATGGTTTTTATCATTTAAGCTTGAGGAAGGTTTTATGTTTTATGAGATTAAAATAAATAAACAAATAACCCCCTTTAAGCTATTGCTAAATTTTTTAAAGCTTGAAAATAATTCTTATTATTTGTTTTAATTTTTTTAAGCTAAGTATTAGATCTTTTTTTCTCTAGTTATTTTTAGAAAAAATAAAAAATTGGTCCCTAATATTTAATTTCTATTTTAAAAAATTAATTATGAGATCCCTAAATTAAAAACCTCCTAATTATTTTTTGAAAATTGATATTTTCATTTATTAATTTAACTATAATTAGGAATCAATTAATTATTTTGCTCTATTTTTAAAAGATTATATATAAGTAACGTTGTTTATAAGTAATATGACTTAAATAACTAACTTCCCAAATATATAAATTTTTTTATTCATCTAGAAATTTTAAAAAAATGATGTCAACAAAAAAAAAGTATGGAACTTTGTATTGATGAAAATTATATTAAATTAATCAAAATAATATATATAAATTAATCTTAGATTACTGTATTAAATTTATTGACTCAATTTTTTAGGTTTAACCCTAAAAGCAGAATGTCTTTTATAAAATAACATATGAAGTGTAGAGTATGAACCATGAAGTTTTTAGTTGCAGTGGTTCCTATTAAAATGTAAAATACTGAAAGAAAAAAAAAAAAAAGGTAATGAAAAAAACAAATCTGAGGGTGTAATCGCAGATTCTAGCTAAAAGTCCCAGGAGGCGTTAATTACAAGTTCAACCCAAGTCCATATTTTATATTTTGTTACCGGTGTAAATGCAGAAACTTAAAATAATAAGATAAAAATGCACGTGTCAGGTTTTGAGCAGCTCATATTCACACACGCTGTATCCCTAGCATATCTAAAACTGAAGAGAGAGAAAGGGAAAAGAAAATAAAAGGCTTACTTGAATGGAGGAGGATTAGAAGGCCACTCAGGCACATATTTGTCAAGAGGATAGCAATGAAGTCTAAGATAGTCTCTCCAGTTATGCACTTTCTCTTTATTAACATTGAAACTTGTAGAGAGTCTTATTGTTTTTGATGGGTCATCTGAGTATAGCTTCAGCTTCTCCTCCACAGGCAGTCTAAAGAACTCACTAGCCACTCCTATCATCTTCTCCATTTCTTCTAAGGAAACTCCATGATTGATTACCTGCTTGCTTCCAGGTAAGACTATGATTAGTATTCTCACTTACCAAATGAGAGATTTGAGGATAAAAATCTCTCCACTATTAGAGTTTTTACCACTTATGCTGAAATAAGAGATTTGAAGATCAAAATCTCGACTACTAGAGTTTTTACCGATTCGAGTAAAATTTACTGATTCAAATAAAATGGTATGACTATTTTTTTCTCTCGTACGGTAACAAGAGATTTGAGATTCAAAAAATTTAAAATATAAGAGATTTTACCATTTTCGCGGGAACAATAGATTTGAATCGGCTATAATAGCTTTTACCAATTTTGACGAGTAAAAGACAAACCACTCTCAAGGAATAAAAACAAAACTCATTTATGCGTACCACTTGTAAAATGTCCAAAAAAGTTTACCTGGAAAAACCCGAACTCTGTGCACGCGTCGCCGATTTTTTTGACAATCTGAGCTCTATCAGGACAACCCAAGTCAATAACCGGAACGTCCTCACAGATTAGGACTTCCGACAGGCGAGGACGTTCGGATTCCGGTCTTATGTAGCTTTCTGGAAGGTTAGAGTAGTGGATTCCTGAAGAAAGGACCTTGGTCTCCATGGTTTCTATGAGGAAATTAATATACAAATCAGTATAAGAATAGGGTGCTAAGACAAAAACTACTTAGCCCCTTCAAGATGGATGCTCTAATACTAAAGCTCACCATGGAGCTTCTAACATATGAGAACTTTCAGTAGCAAACATGTATTTATAGAGCCGATTGCAAGCCTATAGGCACTACGATACTCTTAGATAAAAAACAAAAAATATAAAACTTTTTTTTGTTAAGAAAAAGACTAAGTCAACGCTAAGTTTAAAGAACTGCACTAATATAGATTCTTTGTACTAATACAGCTGACAAATCTTGTAAAAGATGAATCTGAAAAATTAGCTGTTTTTTATAGTTGTTAGTTAATAGTATTTCATAAAATGCTAAAAATTAAATATTATATGAGTTTATTTTTCACAGAATGCTACTCTAACATCTAAAAGTTAATGTAAACTCTATGTTATCGAATAACATTTTAAGTACTTGTTTAGTGTTTTGATCATTCAAAACTTTAAAAGCTACTTAAAAGGTTATTGAAGAAAACACAACCAAAATTATAAAAATTATTCTAATTATAGTGTAAATAATACTTGCATTCTGTTAATTGTAACACTTTTTAAACTTTTTAAAAGAATTTAAAAATAATTGGGTTACCTCAATTTTGGAAAAAATAATAATAATTAAATTACCATCTAAGTAATTCTTTTATAATTAAGAGAGGTAAAGTTGATGGAGAAATCTAGACATAGATAACGTTACAATAAAATATTAAAACTCCATTTGATCTCTTCGAATCCGTTTATTTTTATAAAATAATTTGCAGACAAATATTTTTTATAATTTTTTATTATTTGGGGCATTTAAAAAAATAAGTCAATAGAAAATATTTTTAGGGTTAAGGAAAATATAAGTCATTTTTTAAAAAATGATTTTTCATTTTCAAGAGAGGAAAACATTTTTTGGAAGTTAATAAATTTAGTATAACCTTATAAATGTATATTTTTAATTTATTAATTATAGATAACCACTACCACGAGTCACCGTTCACCACTAGCTATCACATTGGTAATCGATAGCTTTCATAATGTACCATTGTTTTGCATTTTTTTCATATTTAATAATAAAAATTTTTAAATATGAAATTTCTATTATTATTAATATTTTTATATTTTTCACAAATGCTACTCTAACATCTAAAAGTAATGTAAACTCTATGTTAATCGATAACATTCTTAAAGACTTGTTTAGTGTTTTGATTCATTCAAAACTTTAAAAGCCTACCTTAAAAGGTTATGAAAGAAAACACAACCAAATTATTAAAAAATTATTCTAATTATAGTGTTAAATAATACTGTGCATTCTGTTTAATTGTAACACTTTTTAAACTTTTAAAGAATTTTAAAAATAATTGGTTACCTCAATTGCGAAAAAATATAATAATTAAATTACCAATTCTAAGTAATTTCTTTATAATTAAGAGAGGTTAAAGTTGATGCGAAGAAATCTAGACATAGATAACGTTACAATAAAAATATTAAAACTCCATTTGATCTTCGTTCGAATCCGTTATTTTTATAAAAATTATTCTGCAGACAAATATTTTTTATAATTTTTTATATTTGGGCATTTAAAAAAATAAGTCAATAGAAAATATTTTTTAGGGTTACAGGAAATATAAAGTTCATTTTTTAAAAAATGATTTTTCATTTTCAAGAGAGGCAAAACATTTTTGGAAGTTAATAAATTTAGTATAAACTTATAAATGTATATTTTTTTTAATTTATTAATTATAAATAAAACCACTACCACGAGTTCACCGTTCACCACTAGCTATCAACATTGGTAATCGATAGCTTTCATAATGTACCATTGTTTTTGCATTTTTTCATATATTTAATAATAAAAAATTTTTAAATATGAAATTTCTATTATTATTTTAATTATTTTTTATTGTCTTATATTATTATTAATATTTTTATTGTCTTATGAGTTAAAAATTTTAATATTTTTTAATTAATTTTCAATATTACAACTAAATAACGGAAAATAAGTTAATTAAAAAATATTGTTCAAGGAAAACATTTTCCTTCAAAATATTTTCAAAGGTAAGTTATTTTCTAAAGGTAAGTTATTTAGATTTAAGATTTTTTTTTTTTACAAAAAGAATTTTATTTGAAATGAAAACTCTGAAAATGATTCAAATAAAGAAAGTCTAAAATGCTCTCGGTCGATATGAGTTTGTACTTTAATGGTGCTGGTTAGCAAGAGAAAGTGGTAAAAAAATAAAAAAAATGAACATTTAATTCCTTTGTGTTTCCAAAGCAAAAGTGAACAACTATTTATCTTAATTGTTTCTTACAGTGTGCTGAATTTTAATGATGTGAACATAAAATGAGTGACACTTTATATAATTTTCATAAAACGAACACACAAATGTATGGTTTCACCATAATTTTAAAAGAACTTTTTAATGTTTGCAGTTACATCTTATAAATATTCTCACATATTAAGTTTTCTCTGTCCTCCTGTTTTAACATGTACTCCATTTTAAATTATTCCGCTCATATTTGTCCATTTTATCATAGAATTATTAAATATAAAGAGTTAACGAATGTGTTAATATTAAAAAAATGTTAAACTCAAATCTTTATTACCTATAGGAGTATAAATCATTTAAATGTGCTTTGTTTACAAATGTGTACTCATTTTATTATATTGTCTACTTGCATTATGTTTTTGTTATATACTACAACATTTATTTTTTAATATTATGCACCTTTTTTTTCTTTTCCTTTTCAAATACGGGTTTTGAAATACAAAGAGGCACCTATTCTTGAAATTTGTCCCTATTGCACCTTCCTATAATCCAAACAGTAAATGTGACTTTAGAACTCTCTCTTCGAAAGCTAGCTCTCTCCAATTAATAAAGCAGTTAATGCAAATTAGGGAGATATTAGGTAATAGAGAGAAAAAATTCAGTTTAACTGCTGTCTTAATTCTTATGCATTTTCTGTTTTCTCTAAATAAAGATAACAGAGCTAGCACTATTTTACTATTCTAAAGCATTATCTAAGTAAAAAAAAATAAAAAATATTAAAATTAACGAAGTGAAACTAATAAATTTTATGTCAATTGAACTAAATGCTTCAATGATATGATGTTTTAAGTTAGACTTTCACCGCACAAACTTTAAAAGCGTGTATAATATAGAGAATCTATTCAGAAGCTACCATCAATATTTTGGTTTAAATCATCTAAAAAATTCATATTAAAACAATAAGCTTAAATAATTTTTTAAACAAAAGAATAATAAAAAAGAAACAGCACTATTGCTTGCGATGCATGTAAAATGTTCTCTGTATTATATAAATTAACAAATAGTACACAGCATCAGTTGGCAGGGAATATTAAATTAAAAAAAAACTAATTAATCGTTCTTTTCATTGTTTAATTTCGAATCATGGCAGTGGGATTTCAAGATTTTCTTTTTGTAATTTAAAATATTTTCCATATTGTAAATGCTTAGAGGATGTGATCAATTAAACCTTATTTAGACTTGAGTATAGAGTATGTATTACTAGAGGTGAGCAATTCTCGATTTCTAATTGTGATATCCTGATTCGGCAAAGCATTCTGAAAAAGGTGGATAGAGCAAGCTCCAGACATGCTTCTAAGATGAGGAGGTTAGCTAGGGTAGTGGAATGCATAGGACATGAATGATTGAATCATACATTGAAACGGGAAAGCTAATCATCAAACATGCTTTTTTAAGGAATGGTCTAAAGAGTTGGAAGAATTTCGAAATTAGACATACTTGCTTAAGAAAATCCTAGGATAGCGGACCTCTTGAAAAAATTCCTTTTCACCCGCGGGGCAAAACCATGCGGATCTTGTCAATATAAGATGTGGTGGGATTGGCTTGATCTAAAGCAGATAATTCCTTTGGTGGTCGGACTCAAGGTGTGACACTAACTGAGAACCAAACTAAATCGACTCATTTTAATCAAATTTTTGGTTTAGTTACTATATACAACTAACCAAATTTATTTTAAATCCAAAATGACTAATTTGGTTTGCGATAATTGAATTCAAACATAACAAAACCAATTTAATCGATTTGGATATGTTATTATATCATTTGGTTTCGTATTTAGATGCCACAAAAAAAATATTCAGATAAATCGAAATCCAGCTAATTCCATTTGATCGGATTTGGTTAACCGAATGCTCACACCTATATCTTACAATACTTAATTGGAGAAAGTGAAAGTAATTCTAAAATAATACTTCCTCTGTCCCACACACACATATATATAGGCTTAATTTGACTTTCACATAAATTAATAAAAACTTATAAATGTAGTTAAACTATATTTTTTATTTAGTTTTTTTTTCTAGAAATATCCCTCTAATAATGATTTTAGTATACATAATTAAAAATATATGTGACATCTCGACCCGGCAAAACGATCATAGGATGGCAGGCTAGCTAGGGTAGTGGAATGCGGGACACAGGAATGAATCGAATTATATATCGAAAAGGGGGAAACTAATCATTAGAGGCACGATCATAGGATGGCAGGGCTAGCTTAGGGTAGTGGAGAATGCGGGACACAGGAATGAATCGAAATTATATATCGAAAAGGGGGGAAACTAATCATTAGAGCGCCTTGTTGGTTGGAATGGCTGGAGAGTTGGAAGAACTCTAAAAGGGTTAAGCGTGCCTCAGCTTAACAGAAATCCTAGAATGGGTGACTCCTGGGAAAGTTTCCCTTTCACTCTGTGGGACAAAACCCCGTGCTGGTACTGAGGTGTGGGCATCCGTGGACTACACAAAAGCGACAAATTTTTCTGGTGATTAAAGTCGGGGCGCGTGACATTTAGTAAATCAGAGTCGGACCCCCTCCAGTAGATGTATGTTTTCGAGGAACCGAACTCACGCGAAAGCTGGTGGGCCTGTGGAACAATCCGCGACTACGGCAAAATGATCAATGGATAGGCAGGCCTAGCTTAGGGTAGTGGAATGCGGGACACAAGAAAATGAATCAAATCATATATCCGAAAAGGGGAAAACTAATCATTAGAGGCGCTTTTGTGGAATGGCTAAGAGAGTTGGAAGAAACTACAGGGTTAAGCGTGCTCGCTTAACAAAATCTAGGGATGGG